AAAGGATATTCTAATTTAATAGAAATTGAGGAAAGATAAATATTTATTGTAATTACATTATTTAATGATAATAGGCTGCGGATTTTTATGTGTCTATGGACCTCTGTACATATATAATGTAAAATTCTTACATATACAAAAATAGAAATTCTTTTCTGGAAAATAGTATCACAGAGTTATAGTATATAGTATAATATAATAGTATATAATGGTATAGTGTCTGAATTTTTATAGAATAATAAAATAAAATAAGGGAACAATAAAAAAAAATTGTCTCTTCTTGTCGTAGATCATTGAAATTCAGTTAGGGATCAAGAAATGCAAAAATACAAAACATACAGCAGTGGAAGGAAATTCTTGCTGGATTATACTTTTCAATTGTGTCCATAATAAATAATTGAAATTACACAAAGCTTAACAACCGAGCAACGAAATCAAACTCTCAACTATATCTATGTTATATCTTAGTATACGTTTTGTGGCGTTAATTTGTAAAGGAGGAAGAAAAGAAAAGAAGAAATATTAGAAGATATTAACAAAAGAAATAGATACAAGCGTAGACTAGCATAGAAACAATATTAAAAATGAAATCTTACCGCCTGGAAGAAATTCCATGATTAAATACAAATTTATAGGATCTTGAAAGCTATAGTACATTTTTACGACCCATTGATGATCCGCTTCTACCAAAACGTCTCTTTCCGCCCTCACGTGCGCCACTTGCTCTTTCTCCAGCATATCGGCTTTTCTTAAAATTTTCATCGCATACACGTGCCCGGTGTCCTTCTTTTGGACAAGTCTTACCTTTATGATATACAACGACAAGATTACAAACAGAGGTTACTTTCAAATCAATCGATACGCGGTTCTCTTAAAGAGGGACAGCTTTTCGAACGTGGTACAACATGTTTTTATTAAGTTACTATTGATCAATGTATTATTACTGTATTGATATTATTGATGCATTGTTGACTCGTTTGAACAAGCGATCGATTTTTCCTTAAATTATTTCATTATTTGGCTATCAAATAAAATATTTATTGAGCAAATGGTACGAGTATTTTATCTTAAATAAATATTGATTCGTCCCCCAAAAAAATAATTTCTCAACGAGTGCTCTATTGCTAAAACTTCATCCTGCGCTTTAGGTTAATAAGTTCATTCAAATCGAAGGGATTATCATTGAATTTACTCGCAGGATAAAGTTACGTTCGTTTTTTTTTTTTTTTTTTTTTCGAATAAAAACAACAAATTGGTGAAAATAATTTCGAATCGTCATCTTTTTTTTTTTCATCTTCATTTCAAGCGCAGACTTACCTCTCCGAAAGCACCTCTGCCGATAACTTTCAGAGGCTCAAAGTCTTCGACACCGAGCCGAGAACGTTTCAAGCGGAGAAATTCAGTTTCTTTCTGGGCATGTTGCAACCGTTTCTCCTGCTTCTGTTGCTCCGACAATCCTTCGTCTTTCAATGATTCTTCCAACTTCGCGAGCCTCTGCTTTCGCTCGATATGCTGAGCTATCAGATTACTGTAGTAATTCTCCAATGTTACCTAAAACGAAAAATATCAGTAGAACGAGCAGACCATCAATATCGCTCCCATGTTCTAGAAAAATAGGTTAAAGAATCTCTAGTTGAAATAATCGTGACACTATCGTTATCACAGTATTCTTTATATAGAGTTAAAAATTCTCTAACTTGACCGTAATATAGAGATATGAATTAATTTATGCAACATCCTTTGTGCGCTGCTTTTTGTTGAGTGATCGATCGATGTAATTTTGTATACATAGGCTCTAACTTTTGATTTTGATCTCAAGTAAAGAATTCTTTCAGAGTTTAACTTTCAAAGGAAAGTCATATCTTTAATGTTATCATAATATTTATTTGATACTTGCATTATACTAAGTATTTAAACTAACATTAAAACTAAGTTAAAAGCTTAAATTGAACTATCTAGTAGTTGTTAAATTGCAAATTGAGTTTCTTAAGGATATACTCTTCAAAAAACACTTGAAACACGTGATCGTCGCTAGAAAAGACTATTTCTGAGTTAAAATTTTATAATACTAGAAGAATAATGAAAATTTCGAATTTTTCATTCTTTTTATAACACGTCAAAATGCTTCTGACCGAACATTTCTAAAATAATGAAAAATGGATATATTCCATTTCAGAATACAAAAATTTAAGTACGGCACTCTAAAATTTAAGTATTGACACTCGTCTGAAAATAGTTTTTTGCGACCAATCACCAAGGTGAGAGATTAAATACTGAGATTACTCACGGTATTGATTTCTCAGCTAAAAACTCCAATTTGCATTCCCAAGTGTTCCAATGTAGGAAACTTTCCCCTATCTACTACGCG